CCTCCTCCGCGCTGCTCGGCCGCGCCTACCTGGTGGGCGGCTGGAACGAGGGCCAGAAGAAGTACAAGAAGTGCATCCAGTGCTTCCACCCCGAGCTCAACGAGTGGACGGAGGACGACGAGCTGCCCGAGGCCACCGTGGGCGTGTCCTGCTGCACCCTCTCGATGCCCAACCACGTGACCCGGGAATCCCGAGCCAGCTCGGTGTCCTCCGTGCCAGTCAGTATCTGACGCCGGGTAGATGCGGAGGCGCGGCAAGAACAACTCTTTATTCGTGGTTAACCTTTGAGTTAGCGCAAAGGAAAATATGTAACATTTACTGCAACGATCGTATTTTAAGATATATCGAGGCATACGTCTTGATGGTTTTAATTCCTGGTATGACATGATCTACCTCCTTTTTTTTTTTCTTCTTTAAAGCAAAATTCTGGGCCATTGCCAACAAAGAAAAATAGAATTTACTTCAGCGGCCACTAGGGGGCAGACAGAGTCGTTGTAGGCACTCTTCCCCGCGGCATGTTTCCCAAACGTATAGCGGTTACACCCACATTTGAGAAGTTCCCTCTTTGCTTAAGTACTTAATACTTATGATGACACTTATGTGAGTAAGTGACTTCATGTACAAGTTTATTTCCCCCTCTCTTTCTTTAGGAAGCTGAAAATAGTCATTGGTAGGTTTTATTGTAAAATGGAACTCCATAAAGACTTAAGATTTAATTCCATATTTCAGTGCAGTGTCTTTTCCTGTCCATGACTGAGTGAAGGATGTTGAAAGGCATCCCATGACAACGTCCTAAAGCTTATAGCGAAGTCTGACTGGAAAGTAAGGGGATTCCACCCCGGGGCTGTCAAGGTGATGCCTTTGGTTTATCCCTGAGCCCCTTCTTCCTGCATGCCTCAAGCCCCAGTGTATTTCCACCATACAAGTCTGCTCTGGAAGAAGGAACTAATGCTAGTCATTTAGTTTCTAGCGTAAATTTGAATCACTTGTCCTTTCGCCTAGAAGTATTTGCACTTTAAGCCGTGCTCCCTATTAAAGGAATTGCAAGTATCTTGGGAGCCTTACTCTCACCCTAAAACCTATACCAAGATGACTAAATGCAACCTTGACCCTAATGTATGTTCCAGGAAGAACACCAAATAAAACTATGTCCTTAAGAATCATTAACTTCAAGTTTATATAGCCTGAAGGTTATATAAGCCAATAACAATAATTTGATTTCACTCACTCTTTTACATAGATGAAAATGGAAACATCTGGAATTCTTGGATTTAGCCATAACAGGAGGAGTGGGTTGTCCTGTTGGTAAATGCCATTGTTTCTCATTAATGCCATTGTTTCTGATTTTTTAATTAAAAATATAATACATTCATTTCACATGGAAATATTAAAATAACATATACCTATTCTTGTATATATTGTTAACCCCACCTGCTCCAATTTAGCTTTGCAAATTAAAGTGTATCCACTTGATATCATTTTTTCTTACATATTTGCTAAGTTTTGGAGCCAGGGAATGAATGTAGTAAATGATACATATTTTCCTTTCTTATAATTTATCACTTTATTCTTTGATCGTTTATTTGTTTTAGAGAGGAAGTAGCCTATCAATTATGGGCTATATGTAACTGGATTTTGAAAAAGAAAACAAACTAACTATTTAAATGGTAAAACATGAGCTGTATGGAAATATAACTGGGTTTTCATTAATCCCATCCTCTCCCACCTGTGTAGATAGGTTGTTGTTAGAGTTACAATATTTATATTTAAAATATTTTATTTGAACTGTGAAAAGTGGTTCATATAGTACACTTTGTGGAACAATTTTATATCATTGCCCCTTATGAAAAGTTCAGTCTCTGTGTATTTAATGGTAACACTCTGGGAAAGGCTAAAACACTAAGTTAAGTACAAGACATTATTCATAATTAAAAAACACTGGACTGGTTTCTTCACCCCACACAGAGCACGAGGAGCTTCCCCAAGTGCAGAGCAGGTCCCTTGACTTCTTATCCACCCCGGCCGGAAAGTAAAGCTGTGTGAGAAACTAATGTGTGGAGCCAGTTAAATCGCTGAGCTCTTAAATCCCAATGCACAAACATAGAGCATCTTTTATTCTTGCAGCATCATTGGTAAAATAAACTTTTCCTATTTCATCAATTATTTTGGCCACAACTTACAAAGCTTATGTGAGGTGACTGCAACATCTTTTAGCACCCCGGCCGGAAAGTAAAGCTGTGTGAGAAACTAATGTGTGGAGCCAGTTAAATCGCTGAGCTCTTAAATCCCAATGCACAAACATAGAGCATCTTTTATTCTTGCAGCATCATTGGTAAAATAAACTTTTCCTATTTCATCAATTATTTTGGCCACAACTTACAAAGCTTATGTGAGGTGACTGTAACACCTTTTTGGTATAAAAGTATGCTCTCATGCAATTGAGGAGCCTGTAGTATATTGTTAATTTAGAAAGAAAAAAAGGGGGGGATTTATATGGATTACAGATCATAAATGGCAAATAGACGTAATTCTTTCATGCACACTAGTAGATCTGTCTCCCATTGAAATCCCAGAAGTATTGTAACATGGAGGACCTAAGGCATAAAATGAAATAAGAATCAATCACTTGTGACAATTTGTCACAGAGGAATGAAGAGAGATGCTGAACATAGAGGATTTTTCATCTATTGGATCTTAATAAGCTAGGTGGTGCAAGAACTTGGCAGTGGCTTTCTAGAAATGAAACTGGAGACATGTTAGAGCTGGAAAAATCATTTCAAATGACTATTTGATGTATTTTCTACATTGTTTATCTGAAGACTCAGAAAAAATACACATACCTGGGCTTACCAGGTGCCTGGGTACATTGCAGTTCTATCTTTTGCTTCAACAATTACTGGTATGTCAATAACTAAAGACCACTATGAATTTGGCATGCCAGAATTTCTGACAGAACAAATTGGGACATAAGGAACATAGAACATAAGGATTGGTGAAAGTTTTATATCCTGGAACCTCCTGCACTGACAACTGAAAGAGGTGAAAATATACAGAATCAAAATATTATGCATCACCTTTCATATGTAAGTGAAATATACTCTTTAACTACTGAAGCAGTTGCTCCTAAAAATCTTGCCAGTTTCTCCACGTTGCCCAACTGGAAAATTATTTCATTTTTATTATGTTTTAAGCTTACATTCAATTGCTCTCCCCAGTCTTAGGATCTAACCCTGTACCTCCCTTTATTTTTCTGTAAGAAAAGGACTTGTTATTTTTGTAATGCCAGAGCCCTGTGATTAAATAAAAGCATCAGGTCAGTGTATCAGAGAAATAGCCTGTTACCCAGCTGCTGACATAATGAAACTCAAGTTCTCCTTTTCCGAATGGGCCAGAGACCTGGTGTGAGAGTCTCCAGGAAGCCAGATTTAATTAGTCTGTCCATTTTTAGGTAGGCTCTTGGTGCCCAGGTGTCATCCCTGACGCCCTAGTTGCTTTCAGTGGCATTGCATGAGTTTTCGTTTTACTTCCTATGTTGTAAGAATCGTTATGAGTAGAAAGTCAGTGGTGGTACAGATTCATATAATTCTAAGCGAGGATTAGATGGTAGTGGAATGTTATGAGTGAGGAGGGTTAGCTGAGATAATAAGGGAGTGAGATGTACTGAATGGCTCTATGATTGAAGGCAGAGCAGCGAGCATAGTAAGTGTGTTTCATAAGCATGCATATAAATAGAGGTTTACCTGAAAATAGATATTAAAACGTCAATTTTTTGCTGGTTATCCTGACCAAATATCTTCAGAATATATCCAAGTTGCTAGGTAAAAGAAACTGAAATCACTTCATTAATTTTTTCCCCTGCATTTCAAAGAAATGAATTTCTAGAATCTTCTCTGAATTCTTCTCTGAACAAATGTTCTCTGAGTAGTGAGTTCGATGCCCATCCTAGCCACTGATGACTATTGTCTAGTATTAAAAGGAATTATTTTTCAGTATCTCTTTTCATACCAGTAAGAAATATAGTGTAGTTTCCTAAACACTCCTCCATGGTAATTATGAGAACTGAACCTTCTAAATAATAAAGAATTACTCTCATGCACATTCAGAGGGTAAAGATCATTTACATTTCCCTCTCAGGGAATTTGAAATAAAATACTTGCCTTGGACACTCTTAAAAAACTTATTTATTCAGCAAATTTGGGGGAATTATTTTTTTTGTTTGCTTAAAACATTCTGGTACTATATAAGGAACAACAAATTAAAATGTATGTAGTGTTTATAACCTCATCACTATCAATAAAGCTGCATTCAAAAAGAGCTTGTCAGTGGTCAAATGGGGAAGGTTGTGAAGTGTATTTTTGTGATGCTTGGGGTGGGTTTTCCCCCCTCTATTTAGTTTTCATGATGATTTGCCCCAACAAACACTACAACAACAAAAGAAAAAATGATATCCGGAGACAGAGAAGCATCAAACAAACCGTCAAACCTCAGCAGGAAGGCAGGGGAGGGTGGAGGTGGGGGGTAAGAGATCAATCAAATGACTTGAATACATGCATATAAGCATAACCAATGAACACAGACACCCGGGGGGGCGGGGGATTGGTGAGGGCATGTGCTGGGAGGTGGGAGTAGCCAGGGAGAGGCCAATGGTGGGAAAAAGAGACATATGTAATATTTTAATCAATAAAGAAAAAAAAAGAAGAAATGACAAATATTGAAAAGTTGCTCCAATAGCTTGAAGACAAGTGAAAGAAAAAGGTATAAAACATCAATAATAACTTGGCTTATAAACTCACACAAAAGCCAATTCAGACAGAAGTTCAAGTCTGGTCTATCTCAGACCTGACCACTTAGAAGTCATAGGTCAAGTGTGGTTTCTCGTCTCATTTCCACCCTGACCACAGCCACCCTGGCACAGACTCGGGTCCATCATCATTTGCAAGGAGATTACTTTCTAGGAGATGAAACTGTCCAGACAAATCCTCGTGGCTTTTCTCTGCCACCTCACCTTCCAAATGAGCAGATGACATGTAACCAAGATAAAATTCCAGCCTTTGATCCAATTTAGTAGCTAAGTAACAACACTTAGTTGAGGCCAGCTTTGTCATTTCTAGAAAATCCTAAATGGTGGCCACACTTTTTCTTACATTTCTCCAAGTCTTGTAACCATTGCAGGGGTAGGGAACACCAGCCTGCAGGCCGTGAAAAGTCTGGCCCTGCCAAGGCATTAGGGGTGAGTTAATTAAATGTTTGACCAAATATAGCAGGCTAACGTTTAAGTTGGTAATTTTGTATGGCCCGCGAATGATGTTATAATATCCAATGGCCCTTGGTAGCAGAAAGGTTCCCCACCCCTTATTTAAAGAGACAAGGTCATCCCCAAACAGAAACCAGGGGGCACCGCATTCCCAGGTTTGAGCAGTCCCCAGAGCTCCTTTGAGTTTTCTTTGAACTCCCACATAGCTCCAAGCTTCACTACAGGTTTGAACTCCCTTCCACATGTGCACAAAATCCATCCAATCCAATTCATGGCACAGGTGAAATTACCTATTGACACGAATTACATCCATGGCACCCTAGTACGTATCAAAGGAATGACCATTTTGCACCCTCTGTATTTGGCAAGCTTGGTAGATAGGCTAGAGACTAAAAGATATTCAAACCCACCCGAATTTTAGCTCGCAACTCAAAGCAAAAAATCGGCCAAGAGACAGCTCGTATCTCGAAAAACTCGTTAGTCGGGACACTCGTAAGTCAAGGCCCCACTATATTCAAACCCACCTTTAGGCTTTCCTCCCATCAGCGGGTGAGGAAGTGCATCGGGAGGCCCATTTCTGGAGAGATAGGCCTTGAAGGAAAGAGGAATTCCAACACATGTCGCCTAGAAACACCCAACTCGGCCCCTCTGTTTTCCTTTCTAGCCACAGCCACAAGTTGGTTTATGAACCCAGGTGTAAGCGGCATTACTCCTCTGCCAGCACCAGTCTCCCACCAGACATGCTCCTTAGGGAGTGGTGAGGAAGGGAAGCTCTTTCCCCCAACCTTTGGAGAGACGAATTAGCCTCTGATTAGCCTAAAGAGCCCATATGGCTCCTTTCTTTATCTTGTCCAAGGAAGTGTCTTATGAAGTCAGGCTGACTCATCCTGGAGAAACTACCAGTCAGACTTTGCCTTGATATTCATCATAGCTATGGAAGTGATTTGCAATCTTCAAAAAGGAAAGCCTTTGAAAATTACCGTTATTTAGCCTAGACGGGCTGATATATTAAAATGGAAGAAGCAAGAGCTTGATTATAGTAACGAACATTTCTCTTCATTCCACCCTCATCCCCACCATTGGGAGGGAAATGTCCAGCGATATGAATGGAGACCTTATGCCTTTTCATCTGGTGGTTTTTTGCTTTGTGCTCACATTTAGGTTATCACCATAGGCTCAACATTCAGAAATTCTGTCTCTTCCAATTTTGGGGATACCT